TCTCTCGTTTGATTTAGAGTTGTATAAAGAAGATTGACATCGTTCTGTTCCTTCGCTTCTTGTGCCGCTAGTCGTGTAGTGATGGTGGTGTCATCTGCTTTGCTCATGTCTATGGTGTCATTGATGGCCTTCTGTAGAAGGTTGACATCGTTCTGTTCCTTCACCTCTTGTGCCGCTAGTCGTGTAGTGATGGTGGTGTCATCTGCTTTGCTCATGTCTATGGAATCATTGATGGCCTTCTGTAGAAGGTTGATATCGTTCTGTTCCTTCACCTCTTGTGCCGCTAGTCGTGTAGTAATGGTGGTATCGTCTGCTTTGCTCATGTCTATGGTGTCATTGATGGCCTTCTGCAGATGGTCTCTCGTTTGATTTAGATTTGTATAAAGAAAGTTGACATCGTTCTGTTCCTTCGCTTCTTGTGCTGCTGGTCGTGTAGTGATGGTGGTGTCATCTGCTTTGCTAATATCTATGGTGTCATTGATTGCCTTCTGCAAACGGTTAACGTCATAATCTTCTTTGTCCTCTTGTGCTTTTATTCTTTCTCTTGTCGTTACATTTGCCTGCTGCAGTTCTTCAATTTTCTTCCGAAGGTCTATAATCATGTCATAAAGCTGTTTATTTGAAAGCTGAAAACCAACTTGTGGATCCACACCTGTGGATTATACAGTCATAGTYACTGATGTGTTACAGCAATATCCATGAACTAAAATTGATATGATTGACTTATGTAACCAAGTCAAGTGCATTCTACAAATAGATTTTCGTACGTTGGACAGCAGACTTCGTGTGTTTATAATTTTCCTTATAATTTTTAAACTATTTCTTTTGGCACAAACAACATTTGGCACCGCTACCCATGCATAAAACTTGAAATGCTCGCAAGGCAACGATGCGATTATTAATTTGTTCAGTTCATTCAACTAGCAATTTTAAGAGAAGATCCGTATAGCTCATTGTTCATATTTAAGACTGCTACCGTCCTTCCGACACTTCACTGTCATTAATCTTGTAACATGGATACACAGAGGATTTTACTAAATTGCAAGAAAGAGCACAAAGTACTAGCTTTCTTCTCTTTTTAGTGWAAGAAAATTGCATTTGCTGCTAAATTTCCCGCTTCATTTTGTTTATTTTTTTTAAGTCATCAAAACTTCTTTTTATTTGTCCAAAAAAATAAAATAAAATAAAATAAAAGAAGAAGAAGAAGAAGAAGAAAGAAAATTAAAAGAAACAACAATGTGAAGTTCATGCACAAACTATTCCGCCCTTCAGTGAAAACACTTAGCTTGTTATGCCATCATATAAAAGCCGATGACGACATAAAAGCACTATAGTTATTTGACAGCCCTTATTGTTTCATTGTTTTTAAGCGGTGTCATTTTGCAGATATCAATACCACAGATCTGCGTAGAATATTTTAAATATATAATGCCTTAAAGAACGAATTTATAAACTGGCAAATTTTGAAATTACCACATGGAAGACCAAGTAATTGCTAACAATTTGATCTTTAGCWTTTCTTGAATTTCTTATTTTTATTTCTTATTCTTTTATACAGCTATATGCGGGAGCGTGTTATATTGTAATTAGTATTCTAATTGAAAAATGATAATGAATTGAATTGAATTGAATTCAGTAAATACTAAGCTCTGATACTCAGMAAATCAGCCTTTGCACCTTTGATTATTCAGTATATTCGACGTATGCATTCTCTCTATTAACTATTAACAATGTTATTCGTGCTTTGTTTGTTGGCGTCTGTATATGTGCACATGTGCTTATAAAATTGATAAGATGCACATTTGTTTTGTTAGCAATTTACAAAATCCTCTGATTGATTCAAATACAGTTTAGAAAACTAAATATGTTTATAATGAATAGTGTAAAGTCATAAGGTGTCTTTCCGTTTAATTGTCGATAAGTTTGTGATCAAAAAAATCTGTAAATAATTAGATGTCCAACTAAATGATGTTAAAACAAGTCAAGTGTAACATAACAYATGTATCGTACCTTCTTGTTGATTTGAACTCCCATCGCTAATGTTTATCGTACCCGTAACAAGTAGCAAACACAAAACCATAGCCGTAACTGACACCAAAACCACCAAAAACAAGATAAACTTGGCAATCCCCGACAGTCCTGATGCCTGTTTTTCAGCCGGTTCCGTAATGCCGAAAGATTGCATTGAGTTCTTTCTCAAAGTATTTCTGTTTTCTTCTAAAACTTTACCAGCTGCAACGTGAACTGGATCTTCAAAGAAGTCTTCACCAAATGTGGGATTCTTGATAATCCCTTCTTCGTGGCCAAACGAGCTCATGGTTAAACAATTATCCAAACTGAGAGAAGTCCATTTCCTTCGCGAAAGAGCCGTTGTCGTCTTTTCACATGGTTGCACTTTGACAAAAAATATTCTTGGTGAACTATTTTAAAATTGTTTAATTGACCTAATTCTGACGATCACAAGATGTTTGCGCCGTCATTCTGATCTAATGAGATAGTACAAGCTATATATCCCAATCTTTCTTAATCGACTTTTTGAGCCTATATGACATAGAAAAAATCGTTAAAAATATTTGGAGCTATTTTTTTTAGAAATAATTTAAGCCAATACTCCAATAACGATGTTTTAATTTAAAGGTATGCGAGTAAATAATTGATAGTGACGTTAATATTAAGTGGAATGCAACAGATAAGTAGTGCAATTTAGTTGTGGGATACGGCTGAAAAAGTCGACCTTCATTGGCAAAAGATCCCATCGTCAGTTTTTTATTTTTATTTTCATTTTATTTTATCTTTTTTTAAATTTTGCACGATGAAAGGACATCATACTTGAAGTAAAATAAGCAAATAAAAAATGGGTGTCCCCGACTTCGTTTAGCCGTCAGAATAGGTGGAAGCTCACCATTTTTACGGTAAAAACACGCGATCAAGGTAAACATGAAAAGCTGGCAAAAATTAGTTATATTTTATTAAAAAATTTAAATTGGTCGTCCCCATTTTTCACAGAACACTTGAAAATAACCAAATAACTTGTTTAAAACGAAATTTCTGTTAAAAATTAGAAATATCAAATGTTATTGTGCTATAAGTGTGGATTTGAAGCATTCGCGTAACGTGAAATTCTACTCCAATTATACACAAAATACGTAGTTTCGATTTGATCCCATCGTCAGATTTTTAAAAATTTTTCTCTAAAAATAAGTATTACTGAGTACTTTCAAAAACGAAATAAAAAGGGTGTGCCCGACTTCTATTTAGAGCTATAAGAGACTAAAGACGTTTTCATAATATTTTGCTTATCAAAACATTGGAATGACGTCATCACGATGAACGTGCGCTCACTAAATTCATGCGTAGAAAGGATRCGCGCAAACAATGCCCATGAACGTCCTTAAGATAAGGGGGCACTTCTCGCTATTTACTCTCTGGTCGTCAGTGACATTTCTTCTCATCTCTTCTTCCTAGATCTCTTTCACTGGTTTTCAKTGATGTTGTTGTTCCCTTCTGCATTACCAAGTTTGGGAACAATGTGGCACGAATTATTTAGCTGATCTCTCCTTTGACTGATAAGATATGATCTTGGAAAACTCTCAGTTTTCATTGTCAGTTCATGATAGAAATTGTCCCCTACTGAAAATTTGTCAAGTAGAAACAGGATTTGCTCTTTTTTTTTTCTTTTCTGCTAGTGGAATAAGATCAATTTTTTGGTGATTCCCTGTCTCTTCTCTGCAGAGTTGCTGTTTCATCCAGAGCTGATGTAATGCACATTTTCCAGATTTCACTTCTTTTAGTGTCAGGCTTTCTAGCTCGACCCCAAATGCTTTTGAAAACCAAAGAGCTAAGTTGGCCCTGCTCATTAAAGCACTTAAAGTTCTTGTTTTATTTTTAGCTTCAGAAATATATTTTGTCCGTCAGAGAAACAGGGAAAAGAAACTATCCGAATTGGACCACTTTTAGGTAAGTTATTTACTCACAACCTAGCCAAAATATTCACATGATACTTGTGTAAACAACTGGAAGTTTAAGGTAATTCCCTTGAAAGAAATTTTGCCAATAACTTTGTCCTGAAACTTTGCATGGACAATAATTATGTTATGGACATTTAAAAACTGCAATAAAAAGATGGGGTCACCATTCTCGTTTTTTCGCTAGTTGCTCTCSAAATATGTCAATTTATGGGTTTTTTAGTGAAATGCGGTAGCAACCGGAAGCCGTAAACAAGAACCTTAATTCAAAGTACTTTCATTTAACAAAACGTACTTATAACTCGAAGTTTACTAGATAATCTACACTATTAAATCCATCAAAGTCATTGGATGACTATGATTCTTGAACTATTAGTGAAAAATGCAGGTATGAACGTCCAAAAATTGCACATGTCAACTATTCTCATCGAAATATTTCAAAATCTGTCCAATAAACTTTCCTTCATATTTTGATATATAATGGCGAGCATCGCAGTTATCAAAAATCTGAAATAAAAAATGGGGGTCACAATTCTCGTTTTTGATTTATCTTGAAAAAACATATCAAAATAGTCGAAAACTGACACTTTTCCGAGTGGAGCTTGGGGCGAGTCAGATAAAAATCGAAATTTCTCTACTCATAAAAGAGAAAAAAGGGAAAATTGGTTTTGAACATGTTTCTTATTTAGTTTCCGAAAGAAAAAAGCCTAAAATTTGGTAGTTACATGCTTTAAGTTGCATGCGCAGAAAAATGCGCAGTGCAAAACAAGGGAATTACCTTAAATACGTTTTGCCAAACGAATTTAAGCTATTTTTTGGCGTTAACTTCATAGAATTGTTGGCTATTTATGGAATTTTGAAGGTGGATGTACAGCTGTTCTCCWTTTAGTGGGAGGAGTATTTTGGCAAATAACTTGGGAATTCTCTCCTTACTTACAGTTATTGAGAGACAGTGATATGCATTGAAAATCACATACTTTGGAGACGTTTTGCCGAAATGTTTTCATTCGAGACAACAGAGTTACACCACTTCGCGAAGCTGTGGCATGTGTTCACATTTCTAGACGTGCAGACCAAGGGAAACTCATTCGTAGGTACGTAAAGAATTCAATTTTATTATTTATTAAAGACGCCATATTGATASTTGTAGACAACCGATTACGGCGCATGCTTGGCGGCCATGTTGATAACATTCTTGCCCATGACCTTTCTATCAGAGAAAGCTTTCTYGCCTCTACTCAGGCTTTTCCCTTTAATTATTGTACGCTTCGCTATACACGACGGAAACACTGAATGTAGACTAAAGCACTAGAACGCTTTTTTTCCCCAGACAAAAAAACACAAGAAAACGTCAATAAATTCATTGAAAGCATACTTATTGCCTTTATCATTCCATTATCATCTTATTTGATTTATTGTTTCTAACTTCCATTCCTCAATACGGGCCGGCAGCCATGTTGGAAGGCAGGAAAATARAAAATCAATATAATATACATATAAGAAAGCATTCTGTTCCGCCAAGATGTCAATCTGTCATCCAAAATGGCTGCCGTCACGTCTGTGATGATACAGAACTTCGATTGTTCATTCTGATCCATTTAGGAAAACTTGTGTCTTTTAAATAGAATATTTGTATGATACTATATAATACAGACTTATGCAGAACATATGTTATTAACTGATGTAATGCACGCTATTGTGCGAAAATGGAAATGGAGAGTGATTAGGAAACTAAGGGGCATTCCGTGTAGGTTATATAACATARCATGTCACCACCCGTAGAGCCAGTGTAGCCGCTTCCTCTACCACTGCATGTACATGAGAAAGTTTTCTGGCCAGAACCATTGACTGCTACGTCTTGTTCTACTGTATCTGCTATATTGGATGAACATGAGGTGTGTAGGATCTTTTTCCCCTGCAGTAAGAGAAATTTTAATTTAAAAAAGTAATTAAAAAAGCTCCTGAAAAGGAGGATGTTTTAGGGTAACCGTTTGAAATAATGTTTTCCTGTCCTCGTTTAACAATTTCATTGCCAAATATCTGTTAATGTTGTGATTTTCACATCTTGACCGGCTCGTACTTTATTGACGGATCAATAATTTAGTTTACTTCAAAGGATGATGTATTTGACACACGCACTTTGTATTTCCTTGCACAACTATAAGGCATGACATGTCGATTTTTACGGCGATCAGAATCAGATCAGAATTTTTGGAGAAAACCAAAATKTTTCCATTCCTATTTAATAAGAGTTAATTACCGAGAACGGAGGCAGTAAGCCATATAAATCAGTCCCGAGGAAAGCAGGCCCGAGGGATGTATAGGCTTATTGCCAACGTTCGAGGTAATTAAGTATTTCATTTATCAATTGAGAAGGTTTTCTATCAAAGGTTGCTCATTATAAATGCGAACGATCTATATATAGTTATTAACCGGGTTATAACAAAAATAAAGCCTTGTGAATAACAAAGAAAACCGTGTCAATTGAGAAATAACATGATTTACTTACCGCTTCCTCAAGCACGTTTACAACTTTAGAAGAACTCGCATTAACAGCCTCTGGAGCGCTAGCACTTCTGATCACCACACATTGTGAAAGATTTCCARCTCCTGGATCTCCTGGTGGACCCTGGACTCCATTAATACCGTTGGCACCAGCTGGACCTGGAGGTCCAGGCATCTTTGAGACAGCATCGATCTATTTTATTTGAAAATGGAAATATTTATGAAAAGTATTAGACGTTTCTGGTCTATTGTGATTCTTTTYACTAAGCCAGTTATGTACTGCAAGTTTTTGAAATATAAATGTAAGTGTTGATCTTGATATATGGAAGGTGGACAGTGAGGATTTCATGAGAATCATTTAACTGATTGATGTCAATCTTTGCACCTTGGTGTCTGTCAATCTCGCACAAGATATCAAGATATTCTGCTAAAGTTTTCCTTGTATGTATGTCAAACTATATGGATTGCAAGCTATCAAGAGGTGCTATCTGGTATACAACTCGACCCTTTGATAAATATTTAACAATTATTCGCCGAAGGCAAAGTGAATATTGGGGAAATATTTACCGAGACGCGAGCCTTCGAGCGACGAGGTAAATATTCCCCGATATTCACTGAGCTTGAGGCGAATAATTGTTTTAGTATTTTTAACAGTAGTGAATTTGGTTAATAACGGAGAGAGGTTTTTTTTGTCTTTTAAAATTTTATTTACCTTTGTAAGCGGCACAAATTGGCAAACGAACGTGCGCGTGCGCGAGTTATATTCACCTGTAGGTGAATATAGCAGCATAAACGTAAATTGTGGCCAATGAGCGCGCCAGATTTGTTATATTCACTT